AGGATTCAGCCAGTCTTGTATCATTGAGCTTTGGGTTTAGTAAAAGACCTTGTCCCCAAAACCAATGTGGGGAAGAGTAAAGGAAGACGCCTAACACCAAGCTCTGGCCTCCACATGAATCTGCTCCCCCAGCATGCCAGAGATAGGTGGCTTTCTGGAGTGGCAGTCTCAGGGCAGGGGCTACAAGGCCCCTATCTTGGTCCATGGAATCTTGACAGGGAAGCCAAGCCCTGTGAGCCAGCAGTTCAATGATCAGTGTAGACACAGGGAAGCTTCAAGTCGATCTGAAGATGACCTGGAAGGGCTCCCGTGACCCAGGGTTCCTAACTACAGCTAGAAAGAGATGTGCAGCTGGAACGGCCCGAAACAGGAAGCACTGCTCTACAGTTCCGATCTCAGAAGGGACGCCCAGAGTCCCTAAGTGGAGGCTTAGGCAGGATGTGGTCAGTGCTGTGGCACCAGGAAGAGGGACTTCCTAGAGGAGTAAAGAGCAGACGTGGGCTGAGAAGACAGGGGCAGAAGGGCAATGCAGTCATGGGAAGAGTCCACGGTTCTCTGCAGGCAGGCTCTCTTGAAAGGAGTGGTCAAGACCAGGCTCTAGGCTCCTGTTCCTGGAAATGCTCTTTTCCTTGCTAATCCAGCTCAGATGTCGCTTTCCTCATGAAGTCTTCTCCCGTCTCTCAGGCTCCAGACGAGAGCAGGCTTGGTGCTCAGCTCCCCTCTCAAAGCACACAAGGAATACTACAAATCTGGAGCTCTCCTTTAGAGGAAGAAGCAGCCTCACTCTGCTCGCTATGGGTTGGGCATGGCATCCGAGTGTCAAAGGGTCATGTGGTGGAGGTTTGGTTTCCAGGGTGCCAATGGTGGTAGGCGGTGGAACCTTTAAGTGGTGGGGTTTTAGTGGGTAATGAGGGCACTGGGGTCACTGCCTTCTGAAGGGATAAATACCAATGCGTGGAGTGAGCTGGTTACTTATGGCCAAGGTGTCTCAAGAAACAGCATACGCAAGGCTTCCAATCTTGCTTTGTGACTGCTGCTGTATGCTTGTGACTGTAACCATATCTGCTACGAAGCTCTCGTCAGATCTAAGCAGAGCGGGGCTGTAAGTTGATGGAGGAAGGTCATTGGTTAATTATAATAAACCAACTGCTTGGCCTCATAGCTTAGAACATAGATGGGAGGAGTAAACAGAATAGAATTCTGGGCGGAAGAGGAAGTGAGGTCAGACTCTGCTCTGCTCCCGGAGAGACCTGACAGCTCTGCTGGAGCAGAGACGCCATGCTCAGCTCTCCTAGGCAGATGCACGCAATGAAGCTCCTCCGCATAGGCTAGAATCTTCCCGGTAAGCGCACCTTGGGGTGCTTACACATATTACTAGAAATGGGCTAGTCCAGGTGCGAGAGTTAGCCTAGAAGAGGCTAGATAGAAATGGGTCAAGCAGTTAAATGAATACAGTTTGTGTGTTGTTATTCCGGGCATAAGCTAGCCAAGCGGCCGGGGTGTTGGGGACGCAGCCCCGCCGCTCATATTTCAACAGTAAGTGCTGACATTAGAACTGTGAGCTAAGAAAATTCCTTTCTTTGTCCATTATCCAGCATCCAGTGTTTTGTGACAGCAAAGGAAAATCGGCTAATGCGCCCTTCCCAATACAGTTTCAGAAAAGCGTTCTCTGGCGGAATTAAGATGTATTAATTGAGTCTCCACCACGTGCCAGATACAGTTTCTTAGGGTGAAAACTATGAACAAGATAATATTCTTCCGTAGTGAAGACAGAATTACCTAGAGGTAACTGCTAGAGCCACACTTCAGGCTGGGAGAACAGAGGCATGGGAGACTGAGAACAGGGCTCAAAACAAGGGGGTAGGGGACCAGTCTCGGAACTGTGTTAGCTATGCTGAGTATATGGAAATGAGAATACTTTTCACTGAGCGGGACTTGTCGATACCACCAAGCTTTACAGACAGCTAAGGAAATGACCCATTTCATAAAGCCACAATGCAAGAGAAGACGGAGGAAGAAAAGCAGAAGGAAATCTGGCATTATCTAAATATACTAAGGAAATCTTTTAAAGTGGTACAAACAATTAAAAGATGTGTGAGTTTTTCAGTGAGTCAGTATGTGTGGCTGATGCAGGAGGCTAGCCTACATGGATAAATCTATGGCTTTTAACAGAGGAGAGGATTCAGGAATTCTCCTAAGTTTGAAATAAAAATGCTGAGGTAATCTATATCTGCCTAAGTTTGTGAATGCGGTGATCTCAGAGCTGCTGCAATGGTGGACACCTGAGAGCCTGTAAATCTGTCAGCCACCCCAACCCTGGCCTCTGAAGGGACTGTTAAATGTAGAAAGCATACCTGTGCCCACAGGAGGACATATCTCCTGGTCCCAAGTACCCCATAGGATCACCATGCAGCGGAGAGAGCTGCAGGGCCAGCTTCAGTTGTGAGCCTAGATCCTGGTTCTTCAGCCTGACAGTCAGGCTGCAAAAAAGTAGCCTCAGGGAACTGCAGCTCCAGGGCCAGGCAAGTGTTTGTGAAAATGTTAGTGAGCAAGTTAAAGGCTCGTCTAGGCAGACTTGCAATTTGGATTAGAAAGACAGTTGACAAACTTTTAATAAAATATCCGATGGCACAGGGCGGTGGTGGCTCACGCCTTTAATCCCAGCACTCGGGAGGCAGAGCCAGGTGGATCTCTGTGAGTTGGAGGCCAGCCTGGTCTACTAGAGCTAGTTCCAGGACAGGCTCCAAGGCTACAGAGAAACCCTGTCTCGGAAAAAAAAATCCAATGGCTATAGTTCTAGTTATTGTTGTTTATGGGAGACCTTAGTCCCTCCATGAGATTATTAAGAGGAGTAATAATTCTAAATCCCCCAGGCAGCTCACGAAAGCTGCTAACCAAAATGTTGTCGCTAAGAAGGCAAGCAATTAACGTGTCCATACTATACAACTTCAAAAAATAAATAAAGAAGGAGGATTATTCTATCAGTCACTACAAAACGCTTTAAATCATGCATCTTTCCTGGAAGCAACTTAAATGCCCCGTGACTGAAGAATGGATAAAGAAGATTTACACAACGGAGTACTACACAGCAGAAAAAAAAAAATAAAGACATCTTGAATTTTGCAGGCAAATGGATGGAGCTAGAAAATATCATTTTGAGTGAGGTAACTCAGACCCAGAAAGACAATTATCACATGTACTCATTCATAAGTGGTTTTTAAACATAAAGCAAAGAAAACTAGCCTACAAATCACAATCCCAGAGAACCTAGACAACAATGAGGACCCTAAGAGAGACATACATAGATCTAATCTACACGGGACTGTATTTTTGTCGAAGTTGGTCTCCAACAGATCATAGCCAATTGTATGGCTCAATCCATTCTGCACAGCTTCAATGGAGGCCGCTTTTACAGTTGAGAGTGCTATTTATGAAGACAAGAAACTGTCTCCCTTCCAGTTCTGGAGCCTGGAAGCTGAAGCTCAGCAGGACAGCATCTGGAATGGCCGTCTTGCGATGCTCCTGCAGAAAGAACTAACTGCCCCCAGGTCCCTTCATGAGGACCTTAATCCTAGTTCATGACAGAGAAGGCCTCACGGCCCACGATGTTCCCTCTCTGAGGCCCCAGCTCTCTATACTAAGATGTACGGGCAACAGCCTCAGTGTGGAGGGGCACAGTCAGTCTGCCCACAGCAGTGTGGGAAACAAAGCTCCAGGCCTGCGGTGCAGTGCAGCGGAGCCGTGTGACCCACATCTTCTTCCTTGTTCTCCTCCCAACCCCCAGTGCATCCAAAATAGAACAATGTGGGAGGCGGCACTTAGACACATGGGATCCTTTTATTTTTAGCTCACTGAGAACATTTCATTTATCAAACAAACTAATGAGATGAAAGCCTAGCACCCCAAAATGTCCAAATGTCAATGGCACAGCAGATAAGCCCTTAGTCATGGACAAGGATAATAAGCATTAGAAATATTCCCTGTGGGCCTTATTGAATGACAGATAATACATGTAATTTTGATCCCATCTGTCTTATTTAGTTGTGATTAATACAGTTATAGCATTACAGCGTAACACTAAGGTCAATGCAGAACAAGAGTGAGAATTCTTTGATTTCTTTGTTCCTACAAATAACATATTACTTTAAAAAATCTTCATATTGTAGCAACATTACACAGACCTATAGCAACAGAAAGGGGCACTGGGACTGTGACACGGGTCTGCGGCTGGGGAAGGGGCACTGGGAATGTTATAGCTTTCCTAATATAATAAGACCACAAATGTTCAGTTCCTTCTTGTGTCCAGAAACCTGGGACTTGAGAACAGCACCCTGACCAGTAGGGCTAAGCATCAGCGGGGGAGACCCCAGGACAAAAGTAATCATAGCTGTACTGTTCTAGCTTTTTAAAACTGCATTTTAAACCTCATTTTTATTTTATTTTTTGATTTTTTTTTGAGACAAGGACTCACTATTTAGCTAAAGGCTGGCCTAAAACTCATGAACTTACTGTCTTTGCTTCCCAAGAAATGAGATTATTGAGAGTCCCATATGCCTCGCTTGGGGTGATTCTTTTACTGACCTCAAATTAAAGAATGTAATTGTTGTTGGGGCTGTTGTTTGCTTTAGTCTGTTCCCCATCCTTTCAGTTTTGAAAGCACTCATGAAAATTGCGACTCCCCTTCTCTTTCTGAAGAAAACTGAACGTGAGATTTGTATGGCAAACCTCAGGGGGGTTCTTAGGCTTCTATTTTTATACCAGCTGATTTTAAAGGCACACCATAACCTTTTAAAACTGCTGTCTTGCTCTTATAGTTTGAGGAGAAAATAAAAGCTTGGAGCCTTAGAATGATTCATAATGGTGCTAAAATGAAATAAGCTACCAATAAAAAAGGATAAAATAAGATGCTTGATTCAAAAGCACAGAAAAATGTCCTATGTAGATGGCCAGAGTCTGTGGGAGGGTGCCCAAGGCTGGTGTGATGGTTCGTCAGTTATGTTACCTCCTTTGTGTAAAGCCATCTTTTGATGTGTTCAGTTAAAATTCATTATTCCTTCCTGAACAAAGACAAGTATTATAATTTACATCGGTCTTCTAAAATTGGAGGTAGGGATGATTTTACTATGACAATGGCTGTGATTAAGTCCATGAACAATCACTAAAGGTTTTAATCTCTCCATCCAAAAGCATCATTCGCATTTCTGTAGTTTTCCATAATACAGCTATAGCTTTTAGGTTCCAGAAAATTTTATAAGGCAAAAGAAGTAGGCCCTCACCTTTTAGACACTGGTTTTTCAGCACTCAAGTCTGTCTGAAGAGACAGTGAGTGTTATTAATCACCATTTGGAATCCAGGGACTACTTCTCTTTGACTTGTAGGTATTTATGGTAGGAGCACTGGAACAGACTGGTACACATCAGAAGAAAGGGGTAATGATCTTGTGAATGGAGTTGGCTGGCCCTGTGACACTCAGCAGGTTAGCACACACTGCTGTCTTCTGACTCTGGCTTGCTGCAGCGTCCACCCCAGTCATTGCTCCCAGAGTGCGCTTATCCTTGCCACCCTAGGGTTCCAGCTGGCAGAGCTGCGCTGGCCCCTGCACTGTTCCTGCAGGCTTTCTTCTCCCTAATTGCATGTATTTGATCACTCAGCTAGAAAAACATCTTGGCAAATCACGCTACAGTAATCATTTCCCTCTTCAGCTCGCCATTGAGAAAACCATCTGCTGTACTGAACCCGAGGTTCAGTCACGGATGGCCATTCAGAGAAGCTTCCATTCTGGAGAAGTTGCCAGACGAAGCCGCTGACTTTTCACACTCATGACTGAGATTGAGCCTTGGCCTTCATACGCCCGTGGCACACGGAATTGAAGTTTATCACTCTCCGACTCAGCCTATAAGTCAGGTACAATCTCAACAGAAAGCACAAAGCGCTGTGTGTATGTGTGTGTGTGTGTGTGTGTGTGTGTGTGTGTGTGTGTGTGTGTGCAATAGAAACAATCCTAATGTCTGTAGGTGAGCATGGGGCTAAGAATGGTCAAGAGAAACTTGACCATGAGCGGGCTCACTGAGCCTATGTTGTAATTAAGACAGTGTGGGGCTGACAAAGAGATGCACAAAGGCAGACACAGTCTTATCAGTTCCAGGCATATATGGAAACAATACGTGGCTGAGATGGCACCGGAATTCCATGGGAAAGTGTGAGGTATGTAATAACTGGTATTTACAAAACCAATACAAAATTTTACCTACCCTCATATTACAAAGTATATGAGGGGAATAAAGCTGTATTAAGACAAAAAAATGTGAAAAACATCCAACTCTTTGAAAGTTTTTAACAAAGAAAGATACCATAAATAATACTAACAGACTAGCCTTAACCTCCTATATGACACTGTAACAAAAGAGCCAGCAAGAGATTAGCTAGCAGTGAAGAAATCAGTGAGAAGATCAATAGGAAAATGTCAGACATCTAAGGTGAAAACTCGGCACAGAACACAAACACAGAGACCAGAGAAGGGCTCCTGTGAACAACACATGCAGAAAGGTGTTGGGGACTGCAGACCCTCAGACTCTGGATTTTCTATGGCCCCTTGCCTGCGGATTAAACAGCTTGTTTTCCTGTGCTTGCAGCTGCTCTGGGCACGAGATCTCATGAGTTCCTGATGGCAGGGGAGTGGTTTCTGGTGGGCTTGCTGCTGAAAAATCCCAAGAGCTGAGGTGTGACAATTAGTCAAGGAGAGCCCTATATAAGTTGCTCTGGAACACAATAAAGGGGGCATTCTTGTTTCAAGGATGACCCGTGTGTCTGTCTCTGTCTTTCCCTCTTCCCCTCTCTCCCCACTCTGTGTTTCAATCTCCAGCCCCTTGCCCAACTCGCGAACCGTCCCGTGGGAGACAGGCGGGGTGGTACAGGAAGGGACTTTGAATCCCGGAAATAAGAAGGATGCATATTTAGAAATCAGATTTGCCATCACCCCCGCCCCCGCCCAGAGACACAGCAGGTAAGATGGTGCAGCCTCAAGAACAAAACATGAGACGAGTCGGGTGGGTTTGCCAGGAACCTAGCAAGAGTTTCCTAAACTACCATGGCCTCCATCCTATGTCTCCTGGTACATGGCTTTATATTAGCAGTTACTGGGTTCCAGTACTTCCACTAAGGCCTGTCAACCTTCCAAGACTCAGGCATCAGCGATGCAGCCGTGTGCCATAGAAGACACAGTGTTTTGAATCCGAGGGCCTGGGTGCACTAGCTGCGGGGCTCTGCATAGCTCTGTGAACTCTGAATCTCAGTTTCCACAACGACAGAGAGGACCACAGGGCCTATGAGCCAGCGAGAGTGCTGGGAAGGTACAGACCTGCCCAAATCAAGTTCAGCTCCTAGTGACGGCTTGCAAAGTCGCCCAACTGTAACGGATGGTTCTGGCATGAAGGATGTGTGGAAGCTCAAAGTCCTCACTCCCCGTGAGAAGTGTGAACCTCGGAGGATGTGACACCAATGTAAGGAACAGGCAGAGCCTCTCTTTCCCCTGCCAGAGTGGAGTGTCGGGGGGGTAGACAGACTGCATGGAAACCAATGGGTGGGCCGAGTCTTTTTCTGTATCTGTTTCTAGGGCTGTAATGTATATTCGCTCTCTCCCACATCCTGCTTTCTATCTTCCTCTCCCTCCACAGGCACTTTAAATACTGACTAGAATAAGTAGGACTTTAAGAGGCAGACTAAAAGGCCTCTGGCCTCATCAGACTGAGTTACTGTTCTGAGCATGAAGGTTGCTGGAGAAGAAAAATAGTATGAGCAGTCAGAAGATGGGTCCCCTTCTCTCTGTGGGGCTCAGGATACGTTCTTAAAGGACAATAAAACAGCCCTAGAACACGTGTTTCCTACTCACACACTTCCATGTTCATCCTGCAATGTGGGATCTTTTCCAGTACACAGTGGGTTCAGAGCTCAGGGCTGGTTCAGCGGCCTCTTTGTGGGCACTCTCTACTCATTTGGTTCTGAGCCGTGTTTCCAGCTGCAGCTGTCTCTGAAAGCAACTACTCCCCTTTGATGTCGGAGTCAGCACTTTCAACTTTGACTCGGCCAACAGGTGTTCCCTCACCACCTCTCCTCTATACCAGCTGTCTTCTCTCCAGGTTCCCAGCAGGCAGCAAAGAGACAGAGCCTGTGGCCAGAGACATTCACAACTGGAGTCTGTGGTGCACACCCTGAGGTCGCCTCTTTCTCCACTTCATGGAATATGCATAGCTACTGGGAGAACCATAGCATGGCGAGACAGGAATGCTCCACAAAAATAACGACAGTCTATATGTTTCTCTTTGGGTTCACCTTCTTATTTAGCTTCTCTAGGACAACGAATTATAGGCTCAATGTCCTTTATTTATGGCTAGAAACCAAATATGAGTGAGTACATCCCATGTTCCTCTTTTTGGGTCTGGCTTACCTCACTCAGGATAGTTTTTTCTATTTCTGTCCACTTGCATGCAAAATTCAAGAAGTCATTGTTTTTTACTGCTGAGTAGTACTCTAATATGTATATATTCCATACTTTCTTCATCCATTTTAGGTGAACCCAAAGAAAAACATAGGCATCCTCCTGAATATTAACTTTCATCAGGCAATGAAAGAAGACAGAGACAGAGACCCACATTGGAGCAACAGACAGAAATCTCAAGGTCCAAATCAGGAGCAGAAGGAGAGAGAGCACGAGCAAGGAACTCAGGACCGCGAGGGGTGCACCCACACACTGAGACAATGGGGATGTTCTATCGGGAACTCACCAAGGCCAGCTGGCCTGGATCTGAAAAAGCATGGGATAAAACCGGATTCGCTGAACAGAGCGGACAAGGAGGACTACTGAGACCTCAAGAACAATGGCAATGGGTTTTTGATCCTACTGCACGTACTGGCTTTGTGGGAGCCTAGGCAGTTTGGATGCTCACCTTACAAGACCTGGATGGAGGTGGGTGGTCCTTGGACTTCCCACAGGGCAGGGAACCCTGATTGCTCTTTGGGCTGACGAGGGAGGGGGACTTGATGGGGGAGGAGGAGGGAAATGGGAAGCGGTGGCGGGGAGGAGGCAGAAATCTTTAATAAATAAATAAATAAATAATAAAAAATTAAAAAAAATAACGACAGTCAGTCTCACTTATTCTTTGACAGAGGAAAGGGTCATCGCTATACCAACAGGACGTTGGGATGGGCCAAGCAGTTTTGCCCCTTGGTTCGAAAACAAAGAGAGCTTAGGGACACATTGCCTCTAGGCACAGAGTCCGGTGCAGGGAACAGAAACCTGGCGTGGCAGTGTGTATGTCGACTGTGCGTGTAGAGCTGCTACGGGGCTGCTCTGGGCAGAGAGCATGGGCAGTTGCACCAGGAAACAGGTCTGGATACCCACCAGAACTGCAGATATTAGTAACAGAAGTCGTGGTCGATGCTGCTGCCCACAGTTTAAACCTGGGGACGAAAGGTTACCCTGAGGGTGGCAGCAACATGGCAGGATAATATTTTTTTTTTAATTGTTTTATTCTAAAAAAAAAATCACTTTTTATGTGTATTGCTTGCATGTGCATGTCTGTGTACCATGTGTGTGCAGTGACTGCAGAGGCCAGAGGGCAATCGACCTAGGACTATAGTTACAGACAGTTATGATCCACTATTTAGTGCTGGGCATCAAAACCAGGCCTTCAGAAGGAACAGCCAGTGCTCTTAACCACCGAGCCATTTCTCTAGCCCAAGCAGGAAAATATTTTAAAATACAAACAGAGAACAGAGTAACATTTCTTCTGACCTTAAACCCCATCTCCTCTGTTAGGATGAAATGTTCAATTGGGTCCTGAGAAAACAGGGAGGTTAGGAGAGTTTAGAGACCTGACCAGAGCCAGGTCCCTGGATGATGGGTTGTGTGGCACTGGGCGCTGTCCAGGGAAGGGGAAAGCTGTCAGCAAATCTGCACCTCTAAAAAGGGAGTAGTGCTCCCTACTCATCTACACAGAAACGCTAGGCGTGTGTGTGTGTGTGTGTGTGTGTGTGTGTGCATGTGTGTGCCCCTCAGACGTACGCAGTCTGCTCCCTACTCATCCACACAGAAACGCTAGGCATGTGTGTGCGTGTGTGTGCCCCTCAGACATACGCAGGCATACAGAATAAAGGGGCTCTTTGCTTGCTTCACCTTGAGTGGGACCCCTGAAAACCAACAGCTGAGAAGAAGTGTTTGTGTCATGTGACAGACCATATTACAGAGTGGTCAGTGCTGCCTGTGGCCCAGAATGGCTAGTAGCACCTGGAACTGAGTCTGAGGACTCTGAGCTCCTCTTGATTAAGGGCCAAAGAGCCTAATGGGGTTTAAAAAATAACACAGAGAGAGAGAGAGAGAATGAGCGTGTGCAAATAATAACCAAGTCTGCCTGTCAGGACTCTGGGGTTTGAGAGTGGAGGAAGGCAGAACAATAGATGAATTCCTTGAGAAACAAAGAGCATTTGCAAACGAAATGCATAGCTTCTTCAGTTCCTTGACTCAGAACATATTTGTGTGTGTGTGTGTGTGCATGCACATAAAACTAAGAAAGGTAGAACGGTGGTTTGTAAGTGGCATTTGAACTGTGGTTTGAATATGAAATGTCTCCTGACTTGTGAAGGCTTGGTCTTCAAGGCTTCAGAGGTGTGGCCTCGGGAGGTCACTGGAACATGAGGGCTCTAACTCAACAGTGGGCCAGTACATAGAATTCATGGATGGACAGTGCACCGCTGAGGAGAGAGGTCATTGGGGTGTACCTCTATGGGTATAACCGGGCCCAGTCCCACCCTCTCCTCCTCCGCCTCTTTGTTAGTATCAAGCAAGCAGCTTTCCTTTGCCATGCCCGTCTGCCACAACATTGTGCCCAACCACAGGCCCAAGCTGATGGGGCCCAGTGAACACATGAGCCTAAACCAATCTCCCCTTTATAGCGTTTATTTTGGTATTTTGTCCCAGCACCAAGGAGATGACCAACACAAGTTGTTGCATCCCTGAATCTTTGTTCTGAGGTTGGAGCCCACTAAGACAGTAAAAGTCTACCAGATGAATCCAGTTTTGACTCACCTGACTCAAGAGGGGCCCTGGCCTATCTGTCCTCCCTCCCCTTTCTCCCCTTCTCTTTCCTGGCTTATATTCCTCTCAGACTTAGCAGAGAGCAGGTCCTCTGCTGAGTATACCAACATCACACAAAGCAAGAGCAGAAACCCCAGTTTCCTGTCCTCGAACTGTACAAATTTACCTAGGGAGGTAAAGGCAGAGGGAGGCAGCAGGAATAGCAGGGGCCTGGGGCAGAGGCGCACTTGCTGATCTGAGACTGGCAAGTCTCTAGGGTGTCTGCTCACATGGTGTTGCGTACATGTGCTTGCTGCCCATTTCAAAAGGCATTGCTAGCAAGCCATTGCAGTAATAATGAAATGCCTTTAAAGTCTGCTTAGTATTGGTGAGAAGGAGAAGATAAACCTAGTTGCAGAATAAAGCTAAACTGGCCTTGTTTAACTTCCTTTCTCTTAGTACTCGGCAGCTTTTCCAATGCCAGGTCTTAGAGTGTACGTCCCCTTTAAGTGGATTGCTGGGGTAACAGAGGAGAACAGCTGTCTGAGATTGTTCCTAAAGATGTCCCAAACTGGCGTGTGACACTCTTGGCTCACCACATGGACCCCATCTGCAGCAGGGTCATGGCAAGGAAGGGAGACCAGGAAATGGCAGGAAAAAAATGGCGTTCTTGCTTTCCATCCAGCCTTCTCTTTCTAGCCAGACATCTGAACCCCACTCTGGGTCCTGTGTCTGTACAGCTCTGCCGCCCTCCACTCCACCCACCGGCCTCTCCGGACTTGAGCCATCTGTTTCTTTGATGTGAAGAAGGCTGTGTAAGCCGTGGTTAACTTATTTACTCTTTGGCTCCCTCACGACAGGCGGGGACTTCCCAAGTCTCTCTGCCACCAGTGGGCATGTGGAGAAATCAGAGCAGGGGTGGGCACAGAGTACTGTGACCTAGACAGGACGTGCTTTTCCAATCACTCCTTCCTGACAGCCAGATTTCTGGGGCCATCAGTTTACCCTTTGGTGGCTAAGACTTAGCAAGTAGCTATGGTTCCATCTCTAGACAGTTTATCAATAGCTAAACTTGGAAATATTCATTTGAACAGAATGAAATTGCTGTTTGGGAAATCAGAAAATACATATACTCAAATACACAAGGCAAAGCTTAGAAATGCAGCAAGCAAGAGGAACAAGCAGTCTGAAGAACAAACAAAATAACCATGGCTTACACAGCTGCATCCCTATCAGAGGAATACATACACTAAGCCCAGGATTGGCCTCCAAACACAAACATTCCCCCAAAGGCTGGTGGGACTGCAGAGTTAAGCATCTGGCTAAGGAGTAGGAAGAGGGGGGTACTCTTTGGGGCCATCCTCCCCAGGGGCCAGCTCCTATCTGCAGGGATGCACACCCTTTTTTCATCTGTGGCTTTCCTCCCTTGCTCCCCTTGATCCACGAAAGAACCTTGCCTACCCTGCCTCCCAGAGCCAGGCCTCCTCTCACTGGGCCCCGCTCAGCCTGTCCTTGCTCTGTTTAGTAGCAACGTTTCTCCACCCTTTGAGGGTCACTGTCAGGTCCCTTTCTTACAAAGGCTGTGGAGGGCAGTCGGTGGCTTGACTTCCCATGTGGGTGGCTGGTGTTCCACTAGCCTTAGGTTGGAAGTAGGGTGTCGTGCAGTGGGCACTTGGCACTGTGCTCTGCTTGGGACCATGAGAGGGAACCACACTGGCATCCTTTCCTTCCTGCGTTCCGATGGTCTTCTTCATGCCAATTTGAGTCTCATTTCCCAGAAGAAAAACTAATGATCCTAACATAAGAAACCAAACCCATGTGGAACAATTATTAATTATTCATATTTATTAAAGGGTCATTAGCATGATAGACATGTGCTAAGGTCTTTGTGTATTTTCTAAATTTCGGTCTTCACAATAGCTCTATGAGGCAGGGACTATTATTATCCACATACAATGTATCTAAGTATGGAGGGTCTCCAGGACTTAGCTTGGGGGGATGGCACTGGTTGGTGAAAACTAGAAATCCAGTTAGCCAGGCAGATCTAGAGCACTGGCACTTGGCCTTCCTGTAAACCACCCTCCAGATCATCCCATGTTTCCACAATATTGCAGGACAGCCATAAAAAGATTCTGGCAGTACATTCTACCTCAGCAATTAGAAACGGAAAAAAAAATCCAATATATTTATTAAAAGAAATAGAGGAAAACAAGCTTTCCCACAAGGGTGACTGCAGGACAAGCAGTGGCCAGTGGTCAACAGTAAGAACTGGAGGCTGAGAAGACGATCCCGAGAACTGGCAGAGGCAGACCACTGCCAGTCAAAGAAGAACTACGGAACTATTTCTCAAGAGCAGGAGAGAAGTGATTATACTCACCTGGGACCCACAGTCAGTTCTGTGGCACATAGAGCTGGGAGCTGTGGCTACAGAGACTTTACTGTGGGTGGGGGCCATGATGAATGCCCACTCCGTTCCCAGTTTCAGGATATCTGAGAGGCCACACGAGGGTCCTTGCATGAAGTTCTCCACAGCATGAACTCAGGACCACTTGGTAAAGTTTAAAGAAGAGCTCTGGAGTTGCCTCTCCATGGCGCTGGTCATCACTCATGACCACTGAAAGGAAATCCTCCTCCTCCAGGGGACCAGGATGTGGTGTGTGGTTGAAGGACCAGAGGGGTGTGGCGTGGCTTCATAACAGAGACAGCACGAAGGTCATGGGGACTTGTCACGAGTTATAGAAATGCTGCTCATGTAACCTTAAGGCCAAGAGGGGAAAGTGTTGGCTCATGTAACCTAGTCAACCTGGGACATGGAAGAACAGCTTGATTTTCTTGAAGTCTGCTGTCTCCTGTGCAACATAAAACATCAAGCATGAGAGCATCATCACAGCCTATGGTTATAATAATATTTGTGTTTTAATAAATAAAGCTTGTTTGAAGATCGGAGTGCAAAGCTAGCCACACTAGTCAGCCATACAGGCCAGGCAGTGGTGACACACACCTTTAATCCCAGCACTATAAGGACCATAAGGCAGGGGTTCAGAGCAGTCTCAGTCTGTATCTACGGACTCGTGGAGACAGAATCTCGTCCCTTTGGTCTGGAGATGTAGCGGAGGTAAAAGGTCTCTTGTTGGCTGTTTTGCTTTTCTGATCTTCAGTTTGAACCTCAATATCTGTCTCTGGGTTTTTATTACTTGTGTTACATATGGTTAAGAAGAAATACACCCCTTTTGCTTCTGTCAGTAAAAGCCTAGATAAGAAATCTACAAGGCCCATTATTGTGGCCAAAAAGGTGAGGCACTGTGGTCAATGATCCCCTAAAATCTAGTAGGTTGTGAAGAGTGGCTTTCCACAAGGATTCTCAGAAGGACTGGAAGAGGGGCTGTCTGTCCCTAAAGGCCTTCCACTCTCTGCAGCAGAGTGAAGCCCTGCCCCTGGGGGAGTGGCCACAGAGGCCACCAAGGGATCAGGTCAGGGAGTTGTTGAAAACTGTGTCAGGAGGAAATGTTTTTCAGAACCCAGGTCTTCTGTGTTTTGGGAAATACTATGAACGAGCAGACTAAGGTCTTACAAGGGAGGGGGTCAAGACATGCCATAATTCCAGAAACTTCCCTGAGCCTTAAAATGTAGCATTGCAGAGGAGTGGCTTATCCACATAAGGGTTGGGGAACACAAGCTGCCTCACCTGAACTGGGCAGAGCTACTGTGACAGCCGGCCCAGGCCAGGCACAGCAGAGGCGGCCAGCACTGCTGGGCAATTCCATTTACATCCGACCCTGACATACCACATAAGCATCAGATAACCACGAAAGTAGCAACATCTAGAGAACATATGCCACGCTGAGAGGTTGTTTCAAGAGGCAGCAGAAGAGGAGCCCTATGTGGTCTGAGTTTAAAAGCAACAAAAACCATTGGCAGCTGCTGGCAGCCATCAGCAGCAGCTGAGCCCAGCAGTGGTTTTTCCTGACACAGCACTTTACGGGCTCTTCCAAATCCCGGGTGACCCTTCACAAAGCCCCTGGATACCACAGGGCTCTAGCAGCCACCCCTCACCATGCACATTTGCAAGGCTTTGTTTCTATTCCATCCATAGCCTTACAATGGCAAGCACGCACTGGACTCCAAAACCAGAGAAAAAGAGCCGGAAGGCTACCCCTGCAGAGATCCATCCTGCGCCACTTACTTTCTCTTCCTCAGACTCGGTTTGGGTCTATCCACAGCACCGAGACATCTGCCTACAGTTTTAGGTGCTGGGCCACTGTCCTCACCTTCACAGCAGACCACGGCTACACTCACACTGTCATTTGTTAGTGTAAACCTACACTAGCAGCACTCGGCAATGGCTGTTTTTAATTAACGAGCCAGTAGGCACCGTTTTAAAGGGAGCTCCATTAAACTTGACATTGAGTCTCCTTGTGCAGCCAGCTCAACAGTAGAGGTGATTATGAGCCAGTGGCCATCTCCAGCCCCCCTTAGAACACAGGCTCATTGTATATGAGGAATCAAGTTAGACACAAAGAAACAAGGCTCATTTTCTCTTATTACATCCAAATTGTTCCTTCAGACTAGGGAGGGCTATTTTTACTCCCCAAGGTGGGAGGAAAACAATGACATTTTTAAGTCCAATTATGAAGTACACCTATGTGTATACACTTGATCCTCCTTTTTATTGCAAGGTCACGAACTTGGACTTACATATTAAAATCCACCTGGGTTCTGAGGCCCTTTGTTAATGTTATAAGGCAGACTCTGCATGTTTGTTTATTTCTGGCCAGGAAGGGAATTAACTGGGCTCCTATCCCAGCCCAGTCTCTGCTGGGTCCTTCTCTCACTTCTGCACGGTGGGAGGGAGGGCACAGGCCACAGGACTTGAGGTTCCCTCCAGCTCTAGTATTCTCCCAATAGTGATGGTTTTTTACACGATTCAGGAATCTGACTGTTGACTTTCCATTATGGTTCCTCCAACCCCCAAGGCTGACTTTAGTCTGTTTACCATAATCCATTCTCCCCCACGTCCACAGCCAGCAGATTTACTCACCCCAGCATAGGCACCAGGACAGAAGCAAAGTTCCTAGCAGGGGGCATTTAAGTCTCACCCATCAGTCACTGGCTGCCAAAACATCAGGAGGGATTTCAGGTCAGGGCTAAGAAAACAATGGTCTTTACATGGTTTTGGAGGACTCTTGCTCCCAAAGGCTTCTGTATCTTCTAGAAAACTCTACGGGAAGGAACAGTTTAGCCTCGGAGCTGATTTACCATAAATAATAATCATAAGCTAAAATCATCCTTAAGTTATGAGCCTAAGCTCATCTTCAGTAGGCTGAAGTGGTTTGCATGTATTAGCATAGGAATCCTCTCTGTGCTCCTCAACATCAGGCTACATGGTTAGTTCAGCTCAACTAGGAAGCCCGTGTAAGGTCTCTCTGGAGGTGGACAGCCGGCACAGGATGGGCTAACTCTCACCTCTCTGGAAAAGGTCTTTCTAAGCCTCTTCTAGGAGAGGCACAGGGACAGACCTGCTCCAGGCTACTGACTGGCTCCATGAGTTTCAACAGGTCCCTTACAGTTACCACGTGCAGGTTCTCTGCATCAAGTAGTTGGGTGAGTGGAGTCTCTCACTAGTGGAACTCTCCAGGCACCATTCCAGATCTACAAAATCCAAATTCCTGGGGACAAGACCCAGAGACTTATCTGCTAACAGGGACCCAAGCCGATTCTAAAGTGTGTTCAAATCTGAGAGACCAACACACGTGATTCCTAAGTCTCATGTAGCTCTCAGAATGGCCCATGGTTTTCTTCAGTAAGAAACTCTCCAGGAATGCAAGGTTTTCTCTTTCACTGGTCCCAAAGTTAACCCTCGAAACCCCAAATACCTTCTTTTTAGATCAGCCTTCCCCAACAGCATGATCTTGCTTCTTATGACAAGCAAATGCTTCGTTCTCTAAAACAGATTCCAAACAAATTCCTGCCATCTGGAAGGAGTGCCAAAGCAAGATGGCACGACCTTGGTTAAGAGGACTTTCTTTTTTTTTTTTTTTGTCTTTTTTTTAAATTTATTTATTTATTTATTAAA